AGTTACTCCTGTGGGAGTGCAGGCTAGGGCAACCACTGTGGAAACCAATATGGAGATACCACAAACAACTAGGATTAGAGGTCCCATTTGACCCAGCTATCCTTGTGCTGGGTATCTTCCCAAAAGTATTAACAGAATCATACCACAGTGATATTTGCACACCCATGTTAATAGCAGCACAGTTTGAAATAGCTAAAACTTGGAAAAAGCCCAATTTCCCATCAGCTGGAGACTGGATAAAGAAGATATGGGTTTGTTTGTTTGTTTGTTTGTTTATAAATGGAGTACTACTCAGCCATAAAGAACGAGAAACTAGAGATATTTATAGCTAAATGGATGCACCTTGAGGCCATACTCTTAAGTGAAATAAATAGAACACATGTGTAAATACCAAACAATTTCTCCGGAGTGAAAAACTAAAGGTATAAATAAGGATCAAAATGTATAATTATTGATAATGTGAAATAGGAAGAAAAGGTCCAAAAGGAAAGGGGAAGTGGGATGAGTGGGAGAAAGGAAAGAAGGGAGTGGAATTAATATGAGAAAATGAAAAAATGGAAACAAAGTCTTTGTAAATAAGGAGGGGAAATAAGGAATGGGGAAAAATACAAATCAAGATAGATTATGTAAAGGTACAAATTTCCAGTGACAAGTGTCATTATATCATATACCTAAAATATATCAATAAACTTAATGAAAAATTTTTTAAAAAATAAGTTATCCCTAGTGCCAGGGATTTGGTTCAGTGGCACCGCACCTGCCTCTCAAGAACAGGGTCCTGAGTTCAATCCCCAGTACAAAATAAAAAGTTATCCCTAAACATTTTGTTTCTTGGTGGTGTTATAAATTGAATTGCTAATTTTTTTTGTTGTTTTTACTACAAGTATAAAAAACACTCTTTTGTACATTGACCTTGTATCATCTTCTGAATTTGCTAAACTCACCTACTGGTTCTATCACTAGCTCTTTTATAGATTCCTTAGGACTTTTTATTTGAGCAGTTGTGAGGCCTGCAAATTCAATTTCATGTCTTGCTTCCCAGTCCCCCCCACTTGCTTTGTGAGTGTGCCCGCCTGCTGTGTGTGTGCCAGACAGCTGTCTCACAGCTCTGCACCCGTGGATGCCCTTGTAGTGTTGGCCAGAGCTGTACAGTGGGCACCTTTGTCTTCCCCAGCGTTAGGGGGAGGCATCCCACACTTCATCATTCACTACATGTTAATTGAAGGTATTTTGCAGCTGTCCTTCACCAGGCTATTTGTTAGTTCTCTGTGGGAGTTTTTTGTTTTTGTTTTTGTTTTTTTGTTTTTTGTTTTTTGTTTTTTGAGACAGGGTCTCATTATGTAGTTGAGACTGACTTGGAACTCACTATGTAGCCCAGGCTGGTCTTGAACTCACAGTGATCCTCCTGCCTCAGCCTCCGAGTGCTGGGATTACAGGCATGCACCACCACGCCCAGCCCTCAATGGGAGTTTTCAACCTTGAATGTACATCAGTGTTTTCAAGTGCCTTTTTTATGAACTTATTAAACTGTTCATATGTCCTTTCTTCCTTGTTAGAATAGTGTTCATATTTTATGTTATTGATGTACTCTCCTTTATATTGCTGGGATGGATTTGCTAAGGATTCACTAAGGATATTATGCTCAAGAGAGATATTGGAATGCAATTTACCTTTTTCAGTAATGTCCTTGTCAGTTTGGTATCAGGGTTATGCTGGCCTAATAAAAGATGGTGGAAATTCTCTTCTTTGATTTTCTGAAACCATTTGCATAAGATTAGTGTTATTTTTTCTTTGAGTGTTTGATAGGATTCACCAGGAAACTAGGCCTGAAGTTTTCTTTTTGGGAATTTTTTTTTTTTTAATAAGAAATTCACTTTTTTACCATGATATAGGACTATTCAGATTTTCTGTTTCCTGCAGTGTCACTTTTGATAGGTTAAATTTTAAAAGCAGTTTGTCAGCTTTATGGAAGATATACAGCCTGTCAGCATCAAGCTGGTCATGCCCTGCTCTCATGTTTACTGAGGGCTGGTGGGATCTGTGGAGAACCTTCATCCAATCCTCCGGATTTCCCTCTTTCTCACTGGGGAAGGTTGCCCCTGTTGTTGACTTGTTTGAGGAGCCAGCTTTTGTTTTTCCTTTCTTCCATTTCATGGGTATCTGGTCCTAACTTGTCATCTCTTCCTTCTGCTTACCTTGGGTCTGTCTTGCTCTTCTTCTTTAAGCCCTTTGAGGTAAAACCTTTAGATCGTTTATCTATCCTAACAAAAACATCTAAAAATACAGATTTTTCCTCTAAGGACTGCAGTAGCCACATCTCAGAAATTTTGATGTTACTATTTTTGTTAAGCTCACAGTATTTTCTGATTTACTTTGCGATTCCCTCTTGCAGGGTGTTTCTCTCTTGGAGTTCCTCACTCTCCTGCTTACATTTTCATCTTTTCAGGCATGTTGTCCCCTTCCTCCATTAGCATTCTTAACATATTTATCACAGCTATTTCAAATTCCCAATCTGATCATTCTAATCCTCTGCCACATATGAATCTTTTTCTGATGCTTGCTTTATCTCTTCAAGCTATAGAGTTTTGTTATTGTTGTTGTTTTTCTTTTGTCTTCTAACATGGCTCTAATATTTCATGAAAGCTGCATAGAACATACCAGTTGCTGGCTCTAGTAATACCTTCTCCTACTAAGCTGTAGTTCTCTGTGTTTGCCTACCTGTCTTTCCAGTTTGGGGGCAGCAGTTTGCTTTGTGACCTCAGTTCTCTGATGTACTTAAATTGTTGATTCTGTTCAAGGTTTTTTTTTGTTTTTTTTTGTTTTTCTTCTTATGAAAGAGAATGTGATGAGTCGCTTTTCCATCGCTGGGACAAAATACCTGACATCCCCACCTTAAGAAGGAGAGGTTTATTTGGTTCTAGTTTCAGAGGGTTCAGTGCATGGTTGGCTGGTTCTAAGGCAGTATAACTCTAAATCACTTATGTGCATTCAAAGAACTAAAACAAGCTGAGATAGTGGGCCATTTTGGTGGAGACAGACAAAAATTTTCCTGTATTAACATCTGATACGTTTTAAAGTATAATTAGAAGACACTGATTGCAAACTCAGTAGAGATATTTAAATTCAAACTGTGGAAATACTCTATCAAAATACTTTGTATTTACCTTTATCCTTATGTCCTCTGAGGCCAAATTTTTTTGTTTTACTTGTGCCCAAGTCTCTTCATATCTTGTGGTGGCAAGAACATTGGCTATAGCCAATGTGTGATCCCCGGTGAGAGAGAGAGAACATTGACTATGGCTTCTGCATTGCTGTGACTTTGCGGGGGGTGCCAGGAATTAAACTTGGGACCTTGCACTTGCAAGGCAGCAGAACCACTGCATTAAATCCCTGGCCCCTGCTGTGACTTAAGGTCTAACCAGCTAAAAACCCTGCTGGAAGAGCTGTCCCTGCGAGCCTGCCTGCAGAACATGCTGGACAGCATGTGAGGGACATGCTATGATGCTTGGTGAGCTTTCATGACCATCTCCAGGCCCTGGGCGAAAGGCAGGAGGTGGCATCTCGGGGAAGGAAGACTTCCTAAGTCAGGTGTGCTACATTTTCCCCCACCAACTGCTTCCTGCCTATGTGGGAAACAGGCAGCTGTGCCAATGCAGAAGGCTCTGAGCCACTGGCAGAAAGGGCCACACTCCCCCACTGTTCCTCACATGAAAGGATTTGTGCACAGGGAAAGAGAGGCTCGGGGGTCAGTTGGCCATACTGTGGAGCCTGGGAAGATGAGGACTCCATCCCGGGCTTCGTTCCTTTACCCACTGCAGGGCAAGGCCCTGCCAAAGAAGCCCATGCTCGACATAAGGAGGAAACCGCCTTGCTGATTAGTGTCCATGCTGGAAGGGGAGAAATGTCTGTGTGTTTTCATTCCCCTAGACAGAATCATCCCCAAGGCCTTCATTCCAGAGTAGGAAGGCTGGCCCTTCAACTCAAGGAATTTGCTCTTCATTTCTTCCTTTGGGCCATCTGGGAAATAGAGGGGATAGACTTACCCAGGGTTAGTAGTTTCTGTCACTCCATGTCCTCTTTCCTATGAAATCACAAGCTATAATCTGGTGCCCTTACTAATAATCTTAGAAATCTCTAACTGTGTCTGTGGCCTGGCTTCTGTCCATGTATGTGAGAAGGTACATTTTGACTTGTTCTACAAATACCTGTGATGGTCACTCTTAAGAGCAGCCTCATTGGAATCCATCTTTCAGAGTAAGGTCCCAGAGTGGTCTCTTATGGAGCAGCATCCCTTGCCCTGTGTGGGAGTTACTGTCCAGCACCCTGCTTTCCATGGAGAACTTTTGCTTTCCTGCACACCTGTCTGCCCCTATACTTGGCTCCATGTAAGGTGACATTCGAGGCCCTCAGAACTCCTCACACCCTATGAGTGCACGAAGTCATTCATTTCCTAAAGCAGGATCATGAATGACCCTGAAAGAGCCTCTCTGGCTGTGCAATGTAGCTCTGTATGTGTCGATATTTAGTCTAGGAGGAAGCCTGGTCAGTCCACCACACATGCAAATGAAAGATCCTTCTTGTTCTGTACTGTAAATCAGATCATAAGTATGTGAAGTCATAATGGAGCACATCTAGAAATTGGGAAATAAGTGGATTTTTCCACTTTTCAGGATTTATGATCTTTAAAGCCATTGTCCAGTGTCCTTGTTCTGGCCCTGTTCTTCCCTGGTGCCCAGCACGGAATAGGCCAGCACCTTCCAGGGATCAGGTTGTAGCAAGCCAGCTTTGAGAAAGATAGTCAGATTTTGAATCTTGGGGTTGGAGCTAGAGAAACAACATTGTTTTTAAAACTTTTTAATTTTAAAAATTACATGTGCACTCTGTCTTTTTACTTTGCTTTCCTGTTTCCATAGCAAAATAGGTCTGCTATTGCCCTACTCAGTCCTTTTAATCAGATCCTTAATCCAAACTGAGTGTCGAATGTTTTTTCTCTGTGACAGGGTGAATCAGTAAAGTACTTCCTGGATAACTTGGACCGGATTGGCCAGCTGGTGAGTAACACTCCCCTTCTCCCTGTCTGAGATCCAGGGTTAAAAAACCTTTGTGTTGATACCAAAGCAAGCAGTCAGAGCTCTGGCTATACTAATGAGACAGTGTGTTTATTCCAGCTCCCCCAAACTATAATGTCATGCTCTTGCTTGAATCTCTACTTTGTCTAAGGTAGAGGAAAGAAATTGCGCTATGGTGCTGGGATGGTGGCACACACCTGTAATCCCAGCACTCGAGAGGCTGGGGCAGGAGGATGACTACTTGGCAGCCTGAAGCTGGTTTAACCTGAAGGTCAGTAGAAAAAAAAAAAAAAAAAAAAAAAAAAAAAAAAAGATATAAAATGGAGTACTACTCGCCATAAAGACAATAATCTAGAGTCATTTATAGGAAAATGGTGGATACATATTGAGGATATACTCAAGTGAAATAAATAGAACACAAGTATAAATACTGAAATAATTTATCTGGTGTGAAAAACTAAAAGTGTAAATAGGGTTCAAATTGTATAATTGATAATGTGAAATAGGAAAAAAAAAGGTTAAAGAAGTAAGGGAAGTGGGAAGGGTAGGGGAAAGGAAAGAAGAATAGAAAAAATAGGAGAAAAGGGAAAAAATGGAAACAAAGTCATTGTAAATAGGGAGGAGTGGAGTGGGTGAAGGGAGGGCAGGGGTATGGAGAAAAAAGAAGAATAAAGATCTGTCATGTAAAGGTACAAGATCCCAGTGATGAATGCAACTGTAGTGTATACCTTAAAAGTACCAATAAACTCAATGGGAAAGAAAAAAAAGAAATTGCTCTGTGAGGACTTCCCCCAAGTCACTGTGAGGGGACAGAGGAGTCCTTATATCAAAGGAGGGTTTCCTGCAACTTGTTCCTAATGAAAAAGTCAAGCAAATCCAAAAAGAAGCCGTATAGCACACCCCAAGTGCAGTGAGGATCACTTGTGCCCTGCTGACCCCCAAAGACAGACCCAGCATCACACTCTCTCAACACTGATATTCTGGAGCATATCGCTAAAAGTTGAGACTCATAACCATAATAACCCTGAGCTCCTGAAAAACTAGCAACGCTTCTTTCCTGTCAACCAATATCCAGTTCTGAGACTTTTCCCAGCTGCCTTATTAATGTTATTAATGTTTTCCTGGTGATGTTGCTGTCTTTTTTTTTTTTTTTAGAAAAACAATTTTGAAAAAGCATCCTAGTAGGGTCCATTTATCACAATTGATCAGTGTCACTTAAATTTCTTTTACTCTATTTTCCCCTCCCACCTTTTCCTCTTCATTTATTGATTGAAGTAACTGGCTCACTCATCCTATGAGGTATCTTAATCTAGGTCTTGCTGACTTGCTGTACAGAGTGGGTAATATTGCTCCTCTGTCCCCTGTGTCCCCTGTGTCCCCTCTGCCCTACTGGCAGCCAGCCCTTCATTTTGGGTTTAGGGTTAGGGGTTTGGGGGAGACTGCTGTGTGAGTGGCTTTGTGCACTGGGACGTGAAGGACTCATCACAGTGAATGACCAGAGTGGCTGGGGAAGCTCGGTGGCAGAGGGTATACTCAGCATGGACAGGGCCCTGGGTTCTGTCCCTAGCACCAAAGACAAAAATAATTCTAAGAGTAGCATGTTAGTTATATTGGACATTAAATACAAATTGCAGCACAGAATAGCCTACAATAAGCCTATAATTTTAGAATGCATATGCTGTAGAAATTAGAAAAGTAAAATGTACCTGTGGTGCAGAAATAAACCAAAAAAAATAGTTGAATTTCCTCTGGAAAAGAAAATGGATGAAATTTTACACCAGAGCCTGGAAGTGAGGATTCCAGTCATTCTTCCTTAGACTGAGGAGTCACCCTATGAATTAAAATGCACTTAATTCTTTCATTTTGCTTCACAGTAAATTTATAGCTCTGTAAATGAAATTTGCTTTTGGTGTTTGATTAAATATATTGCAAGTTAGTGTCACTTCTCCCTCTACTCTGTCTTTTTGCTTTTTATTCTTTTTTTCTTCTGTTCTCTCTTTCCCTCCTGAATGCCCTGTATCCCATATTTTACAGAATTACTTCCCGAGTAAGCAAGATATCCTGCTGGCCAGGAAGGCCACCAAGGGAATTGTGGAACACGACTTCATCATTAAAAAAATCCCTTTTAAGATGGTGGATGTGGGTGGCCAGCGATCTCAACGCCAGAAGTGGTTCCAGTGCTTTGACGGGATCACATCAATCCTGTTCATGGTGTCCTCAAGTGAGTTTGACCAGGTTCTCATGGAGGACAGGTGCACCAACCGGCTGGTAGAGTCAATGAACATCTTTGAGACCATAGTCAACAACAAGCTGTTCTTCAATGTCTCTATCATCCTGTTCCTCAATAAGATGGACCTCCTTGTGGAGAAGGTGAAGACAGTCAGCATCAAGAAGCACTTCCCAGACTTCAAGGGCGACCCACACCGGCTGGAAGACGTCCAGCGCTACCTGGTCCAGTGTTTCGACAGAAAGAGACGCAACCGCAGTAAGCCCCTGTTCCACCACTTCACCACTGCCATTGACACCGAGAACATCCGCTTCGTGTTCCACGCTGTGAAGGACACGATCCTGCAGGAGAACCTGAAGGACATCATGCTGCAGTGAAGGAGAAAGCCCCTCGTCTCGTGGCATCCCTGAGCAGCCCCGAGGCTACCAGCCGGGTCTCACAGGTGTGTCTATGTGGCCTTCTCAGATCCACATCACTGGACACCTGGCCCCACAATGCTGGACAGCAGCCAGGTCAGCAAGCATCAGGAAAAGGACATAGGGACTCCAATGTTAGCTACTGAATCTGGGGGACTAGTGAAACTACTGAAAACCCAAGTGATCGCTTTGGTGTTAATCTGTAATCCCTGATAACACAGCTTCCTTCTTTCTGCAGAAACCCTATTCCTTTCCTGACACAATGTAATCAAAGGTCATTGTGCACACACACTTGCTTTCTAATGACAGAAACACAGACCCAGCTGGCCTTGCAGATGGCTTTCCTCTCTAACTTGCACATCTCCACCAAGACAGACTAACTCAAAAGCTTTGCCTCGCAGTATTTTGCAGAGATGTATGGTGATGCTGCTAAGCTTGGAGCCCGAGCTGGCCCTGCAGTCCTGGCTCAGGGTCTGAGTGCCACCTCCTAAAGTGAACACACTGCCTTCACAACTGTGCCAATGTCCTAGAGCCCCACTCCAGGTGTGTGAGGTGCACTGAGGAGCTGTGCCAGGGCACCCTGCTCCCCACTGTGAACAACGAGCTTGAGGGCTATGGCCCTGCCTTAATGCCCTGAACAGGCCTGGTCTCATCAGCTTGCCCAGCGACATGGCACAGAGTGGGGATGGCCGCCCACCATGGCTCTTGCTCTGTCCAGGTAATGCAGTGGTGCTTTTTCACTCCTTACCCCTCCCCTACACCCAATGACAAAGACATAACCAAGTGGCCTTGCAGATGGCTTTTTAGTCTGACTTACAAGTCATCTTCTGACAGGAAAGTTGGCAGCATGTAGCACCCACTTCTTTTGGAAATAGTAGAGAGCATCATCTCCTGCCCCTGGGCTTGCAGAAGCTGCCAGGAACACTCACAGAGCTTTCGTGAGTGCCCCAGCTGCTCCATAGCCTGTCACAGCTGACTCCTCAGGAAGCCCTGGAAACCCAGAGGTCCTTGTGCTCAGCACACCCCTCAGTCTCATTCCTGGCAGGACTCTTACTTCTGTTGCTACAATGTGGAAGCCTGGGCCCTACAGGAGGCTGGCGTCAACCTGTCAACTTACCTGCCAGGTATCTCCCTGTGCTTAAAAAATAATACACTGCACTCCAAACTGGCCCCTCTATTACTCAGCCAGAAGAGCTGTCTGGGAGTGGAAGGGAGGCTTATCCTATAAGAGAGAAATTGGCAACAGATGCTGCAGCTCACTAACCCATTGAGGGCCCTATCCCGAAGCCATGCTGCTCCTGACCTTTGTGTCCCATATGTGTCTTGCTCTTGGCTCTTTTCAGCATCCAGATAAATAGGAATCTGTGGCTGACACTAGACCAAAGAGGGAGAGAAGCTTGCTTCTGAGTCATCCTGTGATCACAATGCTTTCATTAGGGGACAGCAGGAAACCTTTCAGTGTTCAGGGGTTTGTGTCAGTGTTTGCTGGGGTTTTGGCTCTTTTCTTGGGCTGAAGAGAAGTTGCTGTTTTTGTCCTGCTTCCTGTACACCTCTTCAAGGCTGAGGGATGTCACCAGGGTTAATGTCATGTTTAAGGAAATGAGTGGCCTTGGTAGGGCCTATCAGGATAGGCATATTTGGGCACAGTGAAGGATGGCCTGTTGACATGCAGAGAGCTGTCCTGGCCTAGTCTGTTTTCTGTATCTCACATGCTCTTAGGCTTGAGATCCAGAGGAAAGCATGAGCTATTCCTCCCCCGTGTTGGGGCATGCTCCCTGGCTCTGTTGGAGGCCACCATGGCTGGTGTCCCAAGCAGCCTCTGCAGGAGAGCTTTCCCTCTCACAGCCTGACATGTAGACAGTCACTTTCAAGCCTAGAGGCACAGGAGTAATGAGATATGGTAACTTCTTTTTAACTAAACAGAGAGCAGGCAGGACAGCCAGAGGCCTGGGTCCCCAACCAGCTCAGCCTCTGGCCCCAGGCCCAGCTAGCTGAGCCTACACAGCCTCTTCTTCCTAACACAAGGGATTACAGCATCCATCTGGAAAGACACCCTACTTGGAACTCTGTGAGGTGTCAGAATTGGAGAAGAGGCCTGTTTGATGGCTAAACTGAAATCATTTACAACTTTTCTACACATAGATTGTAGTCATTTTTGTCTCCAAAACCTTAGGCCTTTTTGTATTTTTTTAATTTTAATTTCACTGTTACCCTTGACTGTTGTCTTTTTTATTGCGGATGTTGAAGCGGGAGGTATTCATGCCTCATCTATTACTGCAGAAATGTAACAATAAACTTTCTCAAAATAAGACTCTTCCTCATAGTTAAACTGTTTATACTAAAGAACACAGTGTAGATCTTTACTGATAGCTATTTTTAACTCTTCTATTTGTAAAGAAATCAAAGATTTTGTGTCATAGCTCCAATTTATAGAGTTTTCTAGAATTATTCTTGTATTTTTCCTACTTTGATTAAAAAGTGAGTAGTTACTGTAACTCCATGATCAAAAAAAAATATATTGAAATAAGCTGTTATGAGTGACAAACTTGGGGGTCCTGGGACACATTTCTTCATCTGAAGTTGCAGGACAAAGGCACCCCTTGGGATGGTCATTCAGAGCCAGCTGCTCACAGCTTTTACTTTGCACCTGCATTAGCAGTGGCCAGGAAGGTCTGGCTTGACAATTTGAGCACCTTCAGTCTCTGATGTCAATTAAAATGAAGCCTTAGATTTTCTTTGTTTAATATAAAATATTACTCAGTGTTCAAAACGAACACTTTCTCTTTTCAGTGAAAACTCCAATCCTAATTTCATTTGAAGAAGTTTCATTATCTATCGCAGCTTTCGTTTCCACATACCAGTTTTAAAAGCCTGGTGTGAAGGAAAGCCTCAGAAATACTGTTTGGAACAAAGACCATTACCTCTGAAGTGTCTAAAAGCAGCATGCAGCATGTAGCACAGGCATGAATGCGTGTGTGTGTGTGTGTGTGTGTGTGTGTGTGTGTGTGTGAGAACCCCAAGGGAAGATCCAGCAAGTGACTGGAGACCAGCAGGGCCCAGGGAATGGGGCAGGCCCTGTGGTCACAATTCCCAGAAAGTAGGTGATGGCCCCAGCCAGAGAACAGGAGCCCAGATGCCCTCCAGTCATTCACACAGCTGCTACCCAGCACCTTCTCATACTTTCCCAACAAGCAGGCTTCTAGGACAGAGACTGTATGTCACTCGGTGCCTTGTCTGTTTGTGGCCAGCAGGGCTTGTGCTGCCCAGTGGGAAAGGCAGAAACCCCCAGGAAGCATGCCCACAACTGTCCACAAGGCCAAGGGCCTGGCCCTTTGGGTATCAGTGCCTCCATCTGTGAAAGTTGGACAAAAAAAAAAATGGTGGTTCTCAGATCAGGAGACACACTTGGCTCCCCTGAGCAGCTTCTGTGCCTCTCAGGACCTCTCAGACCCAACCCTCATCTGTTTGTCCTACAAGATGAGTATACAGCAGGGTGGAAGGCCACAAGAGTAGATCGTCCTCAAAGTGTCCCCCAGATGGGTGGATTCCTACATTTGGCATGGTTTCCGTGGTCACTCACTGGCGAGGGAGCCCCTGGCTGTAAACAGCAGCAAGCTTATGAGGAGAGAAGCCCCTGCCAACAGGGTGTTCCTATGTCCAAGTGGGCATCCCTACAGATGCCTGGGTCCGGCTGCTCTGGGGAGCTTTGGGGGTAGGGCCTGTGTTCCTGTCACCCTGGCATTGGCTTCGGGGCCTGGGCCAATCTGAGAGACAAGGTTAGGGCTACAGCCAGCAGGCCACACATTTGCATAAAGAGTACTGGAGGACAGTCTGCGCAGCTGACGGGGGCTGACATGGACTCCAGCTCCAGCCACCACATGAGGCTTTGCATTAGTCCCTGGGGAGAATGGGTCAGATTCATAGGAAAAAAGCACACCACCTGCCTCACAGGCGCAAGGGTGAGTTTGATCCCCAGTACTGGGTGGGAGCAGGGGGACCATAGAAAAAAGTTGTTGGGTGTGGCTCAGATGAGCTAGGAACTGATACTGCTGTGTGAACTGTGTTTCAGGGCAGTTGACATGCCAGCTGGTGCCCATATCCAGAGTGGAGGTCTAGGCTCTGGGAGGTAACCCCAGCTGGGGCAGTACCACTTCTGCCTCAGCAGCCCAGATTTCTGGACTGTTCACATGCTGTCCTGAGGGACATCAGAGTGCTGGAGACCTGCTGTCTATCCTTTCAGACCTCTCTAGAACCTGAAGCCTGGTGGTTCTCTGGATGTTAGAGTAGGGGATCTGATCTCCAAACTACAGCACTGATGTCTCTGTAGGTGACCACTGACTTCCAACCACAAGCAGGTCACCTCTCAGCCCCTCTTGCTCACTACCCTGAGGACCTCCCACCCAGAACAAGCAGACAGTTCTGCCCACCTTTAGGCTGCGACCACCCCACTCTGTGAGCGCCCAGGACGGCCATACTTGGTATCTCAGACATTGCCCAGACCTTGCTGAACCAGTCCCTTACCAAGCTAAACTGTTCCCACGTATGAAATTCCTATGCAAAAGAACCACTCCCAAAACCCAAAAAGAGGAGCAGAAGGCCACCAAAATAGCCTGGCGTGATGGGTGTCCACAGGAGTTGGTGTCCATGCATACATAGCAAGGGATAAGAAATGGGGCACTCAGAATAGACAGGTTTCCTGCCCAGAAAGCAGGGCCTTCCCCAGTGGACTGAGATGAGGTTGGCCTGGCCTTGAGCTTCCTGTGTGACAGAACCTGCAGGCCTCACATCTGTGGGACAGTCATCAGGCCTGTTCCTCACTTCCCCAAAATCAGAACCTAACCTCAGCTCCACCCTGCAGCCACCATCCTCAGCTGATCCGCAAGGTCACTGCAGTCTGGGAGAGCTCTGAGGCTTGTGCCATGCGTGGATGGCCTATGGCATCCATCCTGCCCAGCTGGGGTTCCGTCCACCCCCACCCACAGCTTCAGAGTAACATGGGAGGTCTGTCTCTGCCTCAGTGAGGTCGGTGTACACCAAAGGCAGCCTTGGAAAGTAAGATATCACGAACCGAACAAGACTTGGCATCTGAGAGACCAGTAACATCAGGTCAGGCTGCCCCGCTTTCCCCAGCCGTCAGGACAATGTGCTTTTCCAGGTTTGCCTGCGGATCAGTGGATGGAAGCTCTCACCAGCTTTTGTGAGCTGGGCTGCAGTGCTAGTGTATTGCCCACAGGGTCTGGAAAAGTGAAGGTAGCTCTGCATTAACTCTGCCAATCCCAGGAACCTCAAAGAATTACCTTTGACCTCTTATGCAAATTGATTTAAAACAGTCTCAGTGTCCATTAACTCCTCTAGAACCAACGAAAACCCATCACCATGGCCCTGTCTATCCCCACTGTTAATGTGCCTGGCCCCACTCAGCACCACCAGTCCTGCACCACCTTGTGCCTAACCTGTCACCCAGGGAGCCCAGTATATATGCTGAATGGAGCTGAGGCCCTGCAGAAGGGAGGAGGTGGAGATGGCTTTGATCCTGAAGCTTCCCTGACCTGGCAGAGGTCTTAAATATCAAGAGGCATGATGCTCTGCCACAAGGACCCTGGGGAGTGGCCACCAAAACTGCCCAGGCAGGACCACTGCACTGTAACCAGCATCTGCTTACATGTACTGGGTCTAGGCTAAGATATATGTGACAAAGTGTAAAAAGTGTGTCTTGCCACGGTGGTTGGTTGAACATGTTTTGTATATACGATTTTTACAAATTATTAAAATTTGCCTTAAATTACATCTGTCTTTCTGGCATGTTGTCTCCCACTGGAACCCTCCTGAATGAACCACCCTCTTACTCTGAGCGGAAGTGTGGGTAACAGTGGGCCCTTGAACATATTTAGCATTGCATCCACAGGCCTCCAGGGAAGAATCTCACCTTCCAGGTGGCGTCTCTCCAGAAGCAGGGGCCTCTTGTGGTCCACGTGGATGTAGGACACAGGTCTGGTGCCCAGGCCACCAAGCACAAGAGAGGTAAGTGGTGACTGGGTGCATGGCCTTGGCCTCCTCATTCCCTTCACTCGCCTCAGCAGTCATGGCAACTTTGTGAACATCGGGACACGAGTCTCAACTCCCACACAGGTCGAGGTCAGGTGGTAAGTTGTCCTGTTTTCACTTAGACTTTGAGACTGGCGTGCTCCTCTTCCAAGGCCTTTTTCTGTTTGGTTTTTAATTTTGAGACAGGGTCTCCCTATGTAGGTCAGGCTGACCTTGAACTCATGGCAACTCTCCTGCCTCAGCCTCCCAAGTGCTCAGATTACGGGTATGCACCACTGCAACTGTCTCAAGGTCTTATTTCAGTTTCACAGTATTTATGAATTGAGAGGGAAAAGGTAATCAGTAGGCATGGAAAATCTGAGTAACACAGAATGTGTTCAGTACATCAAAGATACCGGCAATCTCAGTACTTGGACTGGACAGTTCACACTGCTGCAGTCAGGCATGCTCACAGCTCACATGACCAGGCAGAGCTGTTCCCACAGCTAAGAGGCCTGTCCTAGAGCCAGTGCTGTTGCCTTGAAGGAACACAGGGTACTACAGTGGGGGACCTCACCTGGTCCTTTTGTAGGCATGGCTCCTGCTTGGGGTCCATGACAAGCTTCGGGCTGTAGTCTCAAGAGCCCCACATAGAGCAATGCTTCTGGGGGAGGTGAGCACAACAGCAGGAGGAGAGAAAGTAATTGGCCTTCAGACTGCCCTCTTGTCCACTAGGGGATCTCCGACAAGCCTGGTGACCCACCGTGGGTCACTAAGGGGACTGGAAGTGGCTGAGGTCTAGTATCTCAGGAAGTCATCCTTTCACCTCTGCCCCTCCCTGCACCCTCTGCTGTCCACTAGGAGCACAATTTGGAATATAGCTGGTGCCATCAACAGCCTGCCTGCCATACCTGTGACCCTCTGAACACCGTTTTCTGCATATTCAAGTCCTACGCCAGAGAGAAGCCTGGGTAAGGGCCAAAAGAGCTTGACAAATCCAGGTGACACAGGCCTGGTTCTGGGTCTGTGACGGTGTCACCAGCATGCCAGGGGATGGCACTGGGGTGGCCTCACTTGTGGGAGCTGGCTGGTCTCGGGTCTGGTTAATGGAGGCCGAGGTCAGCTCAGAGCAGGTCTGAGGTTGGTTAGGCCTGGCTGCTGCAAGCCCTTGGGGAGCAATTCCTTCACAGTGCCCACAGTGCGGAATCACCCCGAGCAATGGTGATCCCTGGGCATTTCCCAGAAATTGTTGACTTTGGCTCATTTTTGTTTGCCTCTTACCCTCAGTTACTTTGGGTTCTCACCCGTGGAGGGGATGTTGTGAGCACTGGAAAAGGAAAGGGCCATCACCACTTGGAGGAGCTTTTTGAATCTATTTTACCTGCTTTCAAAGCCAGATCTTTACAGCAGAAGCAGGGCATTTCCTCAATAACTGGCGCATATGGACCTTTGACAGCCTGTTGTCCCAAACAGATTTTCTGTTTCCTTGAGACCTGGTCCTTGTATGCAGTCACCCCCACTGGGACCAAGATAACAGGCTCAAGAGGGGTCCTCAGCCCCAGGAGCCCCCAAGCAGCAGCAGTGTCCTCCCCATCCATCACCGCCTGGGGAGCCCTGTGGAAGGCAGCCTCTGTAAACCAGGTGCAGGTGCTGCCTCTGGGAGTCCTGCTGCTCCATCTTGATGCAAAGGAACCATTCCCGTCAGGGACTCACATCTCTGTACCAACAAGTCCATGAAGCCCCGGCAGCTCTGGCCCTGAATTTGGTCATCATCCTCACCTGGTGCTAGGCTCCCACTCCACATTCCTCGTTCCTCCATGGGCCTGGAGGTATAGCAACCGCCACACTTCCCGGTGGACTCAAAGAGGGCAAATGGATCCTGTGCTCAGCTCTGCATTGCTGGGGCTCCAGACGTGAACGCTTCTGTCTGCATTGACTTCTGCAGGCACAAAATGGGCTGATGGCATCTGCCTGACATTGTTGTTTTGAGAACTGACAGTGATGGGTGTAAAAGTACTCCCAGTACTCAGGAGGGCCCACTGTTTGGTCCTTCCTGAGCAGCCATTTGGCCAGCAGCCAATCTACCTGATGGGTCCAGAGGGTACCTTGCCCTTGGCACTGTACACAGACTTTCTGTCCCTGGCACGTCAGCAGCCCCTGGGAATTTGGTGGGATCTAAACCTGGACCCTCAGCTTCACCATTAGGAGCTTGGCTAAGCCTGTGTGTGTTTGTATGTGTGTGACTGAGAGCTCTGCCTTGATGTCTCCAGATGGGATTCACACAGCAGCACCCCCCTTGCCCTGGAGATGGATGGGGGCAGAGCTGGCTTGGCCTTCTGCCCCATGAGTCTCCACCCTAGGAAAAGAGCACTTCTCCCCAACACCTCTCACAGCGAGGCTGGGCTCCAGGCATGAGGCTGCCAGATGCAGGACCCGAGCTCACCCATCACAGCTGGAGACACAGGAGGCCCTCAGAAGGACCACCCGGCTGGGTGACCTACCCCCATGGGGTCTCAGCTGACATGGAAATGAGGAAGCGATTAAGCCTACTGTGTGTTGTCATTTTTATTTTTTCTCCCCCCTTGGCAGTCCTGGGATGGAACCCAGAGGCTCATGCATGTTAGGCAAGCATTCTGACACTGAGCTACACCCTCAGCCTAATCTTGCCCAGTTTTGAAAGAAAATTTTATATTCGGAGGCTAAAGCAGGAGGATCTCAAGTTCAAGCCCAGCTGAGCAACTTAGACCTTGACTCAAACTTTTTTTTTTAACAAGGAATCGAACTCAGGACCTTGCACTTGTGAGGCAAGTGGTGGCACCACTGAGCTAAATCCCCAGCCTGACTCAAACATTTTTTTAAAGGGATGGGGATGTAGCTCAGTGTGAAGGCCCTGGGTTTAGTCCCCATTACCACAAAAAAAGAAAAGAAAGAAAAAGGGAGAAATTGAAAGCCTACATGGCCCTGTGCTCTGAGACCATCTTTTGTAAACATCTCAGTGCACGCAACTGGTCCTGCCTCAGGATGGAAGATTTTAGGGAGATTGGGAGCCGTGGCTTTACTGAGACAGCCCCACTGACTGTCACCTCCTACCCTACTCTCATGGTGATCGTCCCCATTTGCTCTTTACCTGGGCTGACAGTCCCGAAAAGCTATACTTTCAGAGTTCACCAATCTTTGAAAAAGCTATGGGTGAAAGTTTTGCTCTGCATGCCACCACCCCTGGACCCATCTCCTCTTCTTTGGGGACATGTGACAGGTGAGCACCAAAGGCCTCAGGTGCAGGCAGACAGCACTGAGGACAAGAGCCACATACCCAACCCCATGAGCTCTCACCAGCTCTGCTTTATCGGATTCCAGTAATTCTCCTTTCACCAAGGACAGAAGGAAACTGAAAACGAGCAGACTGTGGCACAGGGCTGAAAGCCACACCTAGGCCACGCACACCCACCAGGCCCATATGTCATAAATGGCCACTGCACTCTTCCCATCTCCCACACACTTCCAGAACCTTCCACCACCACCCCCCACTCAGAGGTGCAGTTTGTGTCTCCTCCTTGGGAACCCACAGAGGGCTCAGTGACTGCCCAGATGGGGAGAAGTGACATCCTGGAACTCCAAGCTGAGTCATGAGGGCCATGTCATGTGATAAGGAGGCCCTGAACTGAGACCTGGAATCCCAACTGTGTTTGTGACCACCTCACTCTACTGTGCCCAAACCGGATTCCTGAGCAACAGTTGTAGTTTGTTGGCAGCAACTGGCACTTGGGCCAGGCCTTCCACTTCTGCTGCGATGTTGCCCACTGCTGGTGTCCCCTGGGGCTTACTTCTTGAAAGACCTAACCTGTCACCTGCTCCCCTTTACCCTATCCCAGTGGCCTCTTGATGGTGTGGCAGTCTCTTTGGAGCTAAAACAGCAGGAGCCTGACGGGGTCCCTGTGCTGCTGCTGAGCTGAGTCTGCCTCTTCTCCCTCTGCCCAGCCTGGATGTGGGAACCAGGATGGCACCATTAGGCCCTGAGACGGTTCACAGGGAGGCATCAGTGCCTCTCCTTTGTTGGCCCTGCTAATCTTGTAGGTGTACTGTGAGCTGTTTCTCGAAGAAGCCTCAAAGCTGCCTCAACTCCCCAGTCAGCAAATGCATAAGCGATTGCTCTTGACTCTTTTCAGGTGGAAAAGCCTAGGGTTTTGCCATGGAAGTGTCTCTCCCTGTGACTGACACTGTGGCTGGGGCACCAATGATGACTGGACACTTCAGGAACACAATCGTGTGCACACAAAAAAGGCTTCAAAATATGTGACACCAAAGTGAAGGGAGGCAGACAGCTCTACAGCTGTGATGGATTTTAACACCCCCAACTCAGGAATTGATAAAACCAGACCACAAAATAAAATATCTGTAAAGACAGACGAGCTGGACACCCATGCCCACCTTGGCCTAAATGGTATCAAAGGTGCAGCTGCCTGTCAGAAAACTTGCCCCAAAATGTCACTGCAGTCTGTTTCCCCCACGGCTAGTGATGGCATGCAGTGGCCTCCATGGACAACGAGGGCCTCTCCCTTCGTGCCCTCAACCTTAAAAACCACATGCTCTCCTTTCCTGAATCAGCTGTCAGAGAAACTGTAGCCCCAGTGGGTTTGGAGTCTACCCATGTAGTAGTGCCTTGAAGTTCCAAGGAGGGCACCACAGAAACAAACCATCACTTCCCCCGGGAAGTGGATGCGCAGATGCCAAGCCTCTGGACAGCCACTGGGGCCCTGGCTAGAGAGACCAGCAAGTCCCATGGCCAGTAGGGCAAAGGCAGAGGGTGCTGCACCACAGGTGCCCATGACCATGGTGGAGGCAGGGGCCCAAAGGGCCTACAGGAGGCACCCTGATTGGCCTCTGGAAGGGAGCATGCTTTCAGCCCCGCAGGCCACCTCGCCTCCCTACTTCTCCTGCCCATCCCAGTGACAGGGGGAAGACTCTGCCTTGGCGATCCTGCGCATGCCCAGGCGCTGTCTCAGGGAGGAGAACTTGTCCCCCAGGACCTTGCGCAGCCCTGCACTGTCCCTGATGTAGTAGGGTCGGTCCTGCCTGGTAGCCGGGAGCTGCCCCGTGAACATTTCCCATGGTTCCAGGGCATCCACAGCCCTGTCCAACTGTGCCAGCTCCTCCTCAGCCACCTCCCGCTCCAGGGCCTCAATGCATGTGGCTAGCCACTGTCCATGCTCCTCGATGGCCTCCACAGGACCTCCAAGCCTTGACAGCACCTCTGTGGCTGCCAGGGAGCTCAGCTCATCCTCTGGCCCCTCTGGGAAGGTGTGACTCCAGGCATCAGGTGTGCCAGGCTCTGACAGGCTGGTGCCAGGCTCCGAGTCGCTCTCACAGCACGTGCCTGAGTCAGCGCTGACGGGCAGGGTGGTCTCGGACACGGACGGCTCCCTGGCCTCCAGGCTGGGGCATGTCCCTGCTACTGCCTGGGTCCAGGTGTGGAGTCTCTGAAAGGGAGAGACATATCTGAGTCCTCTGCTTGGGCACTTGTCACGGCCCCAAATGTCCTCAGCTACCCTGGGACCAGAATCAGGCTGGTGCCCCTTCTGCCAGGGCCTCCAGGGCTGGGACTCCAGCTGTTCCTAAGCCGAACAGTCAAGCTCACATGAGTCCCCATCTGCAGCAGTGACCCTGGTGACTGGCAGATGCGACAAAGCAGAGCCTTTTCTAGCCAGGCCCCCACTGGCTCTAGTCATCGGACTGGCCCAGGACTTGTACTGCTCCTGTTTCCCCAGCCTGTCCCCAGAGAGATGTAGCCACCAAGTGGAGAGTATGGGAGTGAACAAGGTACCACATCCACCCCCTCGTGTCCTGAGTGACCAGGGCTATTCATCAGGGTCAAGGCAAGTGGGCAGCATGAAAGGTAAAAATGCTTACATCAGATACTTCAATAGGACCCCAAGGATGGACATAAAATGACAAGTCTCAATCCCTTGCAGGCCAGAGCTACCCCTTGCCCATTACACAGCTACACAAAGACAGTGGCCTGTGCAGTGTCACCAGGTGGCAAGGGTCACAGCAGCTGCCCCTCTGAAGACACCACTGAGTCACTGGCTCCCCAACCCCTGAGCCTCTGCTCCAAGAGAGGAAGAAAGGGCTTCCCAGAGCTGGTTGTCAACACCTGAGGGGCCTGGTAATGTTTGGCTTCCCAAGAGGCAAGTCTCTGCCTTCAATAAAGCTAAAGGTGGAGTTAAAGAAAAGTAAACACCACTCCCTTTTGTACTCTGAATTCAGTAGTTTCTGAGTGTGCAAACAAATCCTACAGTGATCAGGAAGGGGCTGTATGGCCAGGCAACACCCTCTCACCAAGTGCCTGTCCCTCTGGTGGCTGTGCTTCCTCTGGGCAGCAGCAACCCATACCCCAAGGAAAGTGACTCCACTGAAGACAAAAGGAGGACAGGTAGTAGCACAGGTGCCCAGCATGTGCCAGCCTCCAACTGGCTGAGATGGGAAACAGCCCCTCATCCCTACCCAAAACGCAGCCACAGTCCTGGACATGCCCCACGTGCCAGACCCTCACTGAGGACCCGACCTGCTGCAGGGGAGAACAGTGAGGGCCTGCTCCTCTCTACTGACCGGAGTGACTCTGTGGGTAGCAGTGTACACCATGCTCACCTTGTATCTGTCCAGGAGCTGGAAGCCCAGGACGTGTTGCAGCTTCCGTAAGCAGATTGGACAGAGGTCCAGGGGCCAACGCAGGACCTCCTCCAGGCTGAGTGCCCCCTGCATGAGGCAGCGCAGCCAGCGGCAGTTCCCCATGCCCAGCAGGTGGCACAGCTCGTGGCAGGTGACCTGGGAGAGGGCACATCACCCTGCTTGGGCCTCCACCCATGACCCTGAAGATACCTGGACAGCCCTCCAGGAGCCCAAACCCAGGCTAAGGCCAGACTGTGGGAAGTGGTCCAAGCGCCGCTTCCAGGTGGCACAAGGGGCCTGGGAGTCAGACAGACATGGGGTCAGAGCCCAACCTGTGGCCTCACAGCTGTGTGGCTTTGGGAAAAATACTTGGCATCTCTGAGCCTGTTTCCTCACTCTGTAAAATGAGGACCATCTCCTTCATGGTGAAAACTGACTAGGCAGGGGCTTGCGGGATCTGTTCACCCACCCATGCCCTCCCATGCCCGTGCCCACCTTGCAGCACTGTACCACCCCCAGGGCGCTGAAGCACAGCCTCTGGCCTCTGGCCTGCACCGGGGACTCAGAGCTGTCCACTGCTGCCTCCACTGGGGCCAGATCCTGGGCGCTGGGCCCCACCTGTGGGAACTCCCCCACAAAGCGGGCAAAGCTGCAGACGCCCACCTCTGGGGAGAGGAGGAGAGGGGCTCAGGGGCAGCCTCAGCCTTGGGGGCCCACAGTCCCCCATACCCCATCCTCTCCAACCATGGCTGAGGATGGCCAAGCCTGGGGAGCGTCCCTCGCCCAGGGATGACACCGTGGGCCTACTTCATGTGTGTCCCCTCCCTAGGGCTTTAGCCTCCCCATGAAGCTCCTCCCCACTCACCGTGCCCTGGGAGGAAGGTGCTGAAGGTGAAGCTCCAGGCCTCGCAGGGGTACAGGTCAGACAGTGTGAGGCCCAGCACACACAGTGCATCATCCGGCTTGTTGTTTTTCAAGAAGGACAGGATGCCATCTGTGGGGAGGGCAGGAGCCGGGAGGCAGGAGCCAGCTCTGTAAAGGCAAAACTGTCGCCCTCCCCTCCCTCTGCCTGGGACCATTCCCTTAGGCCAGGCACAAGCTCACCCTCTTGGGCGTGTGAGACCTCAAAACAGACACACACTGAAGGTCAGGGGAATGTGGGTCCCCTAGGTAGGGACATCTTAACTGTTTCCTACACAGTCACTGCCAATCTGGACCAGTAGGACTGAGACAATCCCTCACAACCCAGTGCAGTTGCTGGAAAGGCAGCCAGGCCAATGAGACGGTGTCCAAGAAGTGCCACCACAGCCACCGGAAGGGACAGCTGCCACAGCTGCTGACCGATGGCCCCAGAGAAGCGCACATCCTAGTCTCACGCCCTGTACATGTGTTACCTCACATGGAAAAAAAGACTGCAGGTATGGAGAGATGTGCAGCTGGGGATCTCACTGCTTTATCTCATAACCAACCAGAGAGAGGTGGGGACAGGGAGGGATCATGGTCAAAGAGGACTGTACAGTCGCAGGAAAGCCAGGGGACAGTCTCAGTGACCGCAGAGGGGCAAAGTATCTCCCAGGGAACTGTGCCCCAAAAGAAGCAGGGTGGTTGCTACACAGGTAAGGCAGAGAGTGGACTACAGGGTCAATAAGTTCCTGAAGGGGTACAGGGAAGCCCAAGTCAGAGCTGGCAGAAGGAAGGGGCAAAACCATCCTTGGATGGTGTTTCCCTGGGTAAAAGATAGGGAGGAAGAGCAGGGGAAGCAGGCAGGGACCTCGGGTCATGGTTCTGCATCCCTGTGAGGGTGGAGGGTGGAAGGACAGAGGGCGACAGTGCTGAGCCTCAAAGCACAGCCTGGGACAGACAGAGAGATAACCCTGTGGTGGGACCACAGGGTTCCGGGGTGCTCAGAGCAGTTCACAATCAGGGATGGAGCAGGAGAGGCCCGAGGCCATAGTTGGTGACAGCCGAGGGCACTGATGTCTAATGGAAACTGCCCAAGCTTCCCAAGTAAGTCTGATATCTAAATTATTATCTTAACTTGTAATCAGAATTTTAGGGTTGTGAGTTTTTACATTGTTTTCCTTCTAAGTCTTCAAATATGGTATGTTTTATATTGGTTGCCCATCTTAGCCTGGCCACATTTTACACATCCAGTGGTCACTGCCCTGGACAGCTTGAGCCTGGGACATGACCTTGGGAGATAAGTAGCCAAGATCTTGAGGAGGGGTTGAGGAACTTTTGCTATGAACATGATAATGATGATGATAATGATTGCAACAGACTCAAATGTGTCCCCCAAAAGAAGTCCTAGCCCTTTTCTACCTGTGAACATGACCTTATTTAGAAATAGGTTCTTGCAGATGTCACCAAGAGGTCACTAGTATGGGACTACTGAAACCTATAAGGAGGGAAGAGCTCCAGGAAAAGGCCAGGAAAGAGGTGGACAGAGATTGGGGGTCTTGCATCTGCAAGCCAGGGACACCGAGAAATACAGACAGATCCCTGTCCTGGAGCTCTCAGAGAGCACAGGCCCCTGACTCCTTGCTGACATCCTCCAGGACCACAAGTCAAGAGATTCTCATTGTGGGAGCTCCTCCATCCCTTTCAGAAGTAGACACAGAGGTCTGAGCCAAGCCCAGCTCAGCACCACCACAGGCTCTGCCTAGTGACAACTGTCCTGAGCCCATATCCTGCCCAAAGATGTTTCTGTCAGAGCCCCCAGTGTCCAGGCAGCCTCTGAAGTATGACAGCAATGGTTCCAGGGGTCTCTGAGGTACCATAGTCTGTGGACAGGCAGGACAGAAGCTCATCCCTGCATCTCCCCGGGCCAGCAGTTAGGTGACATAATCACAGGTGTGACAGTCTGTCACATAGCATGGAGTAGAGCACCAGGAGGGCAGACTCCGCAGCCTGGAAGTCCTGTCAACCCCAAAAGCAAGGCAGGCTGGGGAACCAGAGCAGGGCTGCCCCTCCACTTGACATCAACAAGGAGGGCTGAGAGCAGGCCAGTGAGGAAAGGGCGTGACCAACACTAACAGGGAGGAACATTACCTCAGTTATACTCCACGCACCTTAAATCAAGCAGGGAACTGCCAGGGAGCTGAACAAAAGAGGCCTGGGCTAACTGTGACAGAGCTGGGCTATTCCCAAGCAGAGAGAAGGCAGGGGGACCCTAGTATCATCCCCAGAATGCCACACCCTGAGGTGGATGCAGACATTGCCCCTGAGGGTCACAGAGTCACCCAGGAAAGTGTATCATCTTTGTCCCAACCAGGGCCTGAGAGAGGGAAAAGAAAATCCCATCTGCAGAGAAAGATCATCCCAGGCACAAATCATCTTAACAGGTACACTGAGTTTTCAAATAAGACATCAATAAATAATGAAAAATAGCACAAGTAAACAACTGAGGCAAAACAGCAAGAATAACAAACATCGTCCACTGCCAGTCCCGGGACAGGGCCACTGTGCACAGGCACAGGGTGGTGACGCTGCTGAGCTAAGAAAGGATCCATGGGAAGCTGCAAAACCAAGACACGCGGCAGAGGAGGAACTCCGTGTGTTGGCATGAGCACGGCAGATGCAGCCCAGATCAGTCTTTGCAGGGGAAGACCACAGACTGAAGGATGGACAAAAGAACCCCACAAGGTCAGAGCAAACAGACGGGAAGAGAACAGCCGGGCTCCTACTCCTGCAATGAGCCCCAGGCAGAGAACGGACACGGGCCAGGCAGGATCTGAATGGCTGAGAGTTTCCCAGAACTGTGGCCAATACTAACCCACTGACCCCAGGTCCAACGTCAGCCCCTGCACTCACGCCTCTCAGCGGCCAGTGACTTCAGAGGCAGGTGGGGCAGGGTCAGTGGTCCCCTGGACAGACACACAGACCTTTGCAAACAAGAGGCTGGAGAGCTGCCCAGCACCCTCCAGCAGCCACTCCACCTGCCATGCCCACTGTATACTGTTCCAGCTGGCCCGGGGCCGTGCAGTCTGCACACTTCAGGCTGGGCACAGACCTTGTTTCTCACCTCTTTCTTCCCTCCCCCACTGCACATACCCCAGCCTTACTCACCTGTATGCAGCTGCAGCCCCTCTGAGTCCCGGCGGGGGCGTGAGGAGCATCTGATGGACTCAGCAGCCACAGAAGGCAGGCACTTGACCTGCAGGCCCAGGAAGAAGGCCTCAGCGCAGCTCTGCAGGTAGTCCAGCAGGGGGCAGCCCAGCGGCGCCTCACTCAGATCTAGGGGCAGAGGGGCCAGCCCTGCTCAGTGAAACAATGACTTAATGGGCAGCCAGCAGGAAATGGCAGCAGCTAATGTGGTCCGTGCAGGCTGCAAAAGACCAGCCTGCCTGGAGCAGAAGGGCTGGCACCAATGTGGGAAAGGGTGGGACTCAGCCTGACTGCACACGAGGAGGACATGGACACAGACCAACATGAAGACCATTGTCCTTGCCCCGACCTGTCACCTGCCCCCAGCCCAAACCCCACACTTCAGTGAGGTGCTGCTTGTCACCCTGCAGAGTGAGAAGACTGGAGCTGTCTGCAGGGAATGTGGGGAGAAAAGACTGGTCCCAGAGAGGTCTGAGCAGAGCCTACAGGCTGCAAGAGTGATGGAGCATGAGACTCACAGTGCAGACAGCACTCTGTCCACCATGGTAGGGAGGGGACCACTGTGGACCCCAGGGGGAAACAGCCTGCCTGGGGCAAGGCCAGCAAAACCCGGCCTCCTCTCCCAAGCCCGGCGCCACATTGCCTGTAGACTCTCCCCACCACACTAGGCCAACTGTGTGCTGAAGTCCCAGAGGCTGCCCTCCCTTCACCTCCCCCCAGCACCTGGCTGAGCTGGTCTCACAGTCCTCAGTCCTCAGTGTCCCCACTGTCTGCCAGACAAAGAGCCCTAAACCGGGCATGGTGGCCCATGCCTGTAATCCCAGCACTCAGGAGGCTGAGGCAGAAGGATCGCTGCGAGTTCAAGACCAGCCTGGGCTATGTAGTGAGTTCCAGGTCAGTCTCAAGTGAGACCCTGTCTCAAAATAAAGAGCCCTAGACTACAGCAGCCACACTCAGCCCAGCATGTCCCAGTATAGTTGCAGGTTCAAATCCTGCCTGTGCCAGTGACGGTCAGATGACCTTCCCTAGCCTCAGTTTCCCCACCTGTGAAATAAGCTGATCTAACAACCCAAGAGGAAGTAACTTTGTACAGCACCAGGCCTGGGGTGGTACTGGTTTCAGCAGATGTGGCTGGGACTTTGCATACCTGGGCCACCCAGCACCCACATGAGTCAAGTGGTCCTTTAGCCTCTGACTGCATCAGAGGTGGGTGGGGCAAGCCAAGGGCACCAGGCCTCCCTGCCCACCCCAAATCCTGAGCCACCCACCCCACTCCAGCCCCACAAGGGGCAGTGCCAGGCTGGTCCTGACGCTCTGTACCTATGGGCTGCAGGTAAATGTGCTTCCGTGCCAGACTCTGCGAGCGGTGTGGCAGGGCAGCATGGAAGGTGGCGAAGTCCTCAGGGGCCTCGGGGCGGCTAAGGAGCCAGTCAAAGGCTGAGTAGATGAGCAGCGGGTGGAAGAGGGTCCTCTGTGGGTTGTAGGCCTCAGCCAGGAACAGACGCTCGGCCAGGGAAAAGGCAGCAGCATAGCACTGTTGCAGCACTGTATCGCTGGAGACCAGGGCATCCCGCAGCATGCGAGGCCCGAAGCTGAACTCCTGGGCTGGCCTACAGGGCAGCATGGCAGGCAGATGGGGCCTATCCATACCCTGGAGCCCCTGTTGCTGCCCATGAGCTGCCCAGGGGACAGCCACAGTCTCCTATGGAACTATTCCTTGGGCTGACAGGCAGGGATGTGGGGGGCCACCACTGGGCATGCAGGGCACGGCTCTGTCTGGCGCTGCACCTCCTGAGCACGTCGAGGGGAGGCATGGGCACCTCCAGGCCTAGCACCTGTGGAGTAGACAGAGGTACCACTGTCACGGCTGGGTATATGCAGGCCTGTGGTCTCCACAGGGGATAGGGGCAGCTTTCCCAGGGCCTGGCATCTATGATCCAGGACCTGACACTGACCCCAGCCCAGACTGAGAAACCACTTCCCCTTTTACAGCAGGCTGAGTCCTTAATCCAGAATTGAGCAGCAGAGCCTGTCCTCTCCTGGACAGGCAGGTGTTTCCATAGGTCCCTGCAAGGCCACCAACTCTCCCCTGAGCTCTCAGGAGGAAAGGACACAAGAAGACACCTCCACCAGCTGCCCTGGGCCCCTGCAAAGCCAGAGGGATCCCTCTAGAAAGGACACCAGAGACAGCTCTCCACTTCATGATTACAAAATGGACCCCATCACCGGGGCCACAACCTCAGCTTCCCACAGGAGCCCTGTGTGTCCCCAGGAGACATAAGTGGAGAGGAAAGCCACCCCAACAGCCCCCAAGCCCAAGGGCTTCAGGGCATGAGAGTGCTAGAGACACAAATTAAGTAGGCAGGATTGGCCCTGGTTTGACGCAGAGAAGCAGGGAAAGTTGGAACTGCTGGAACAGCCAGGTAGCTGAGGAGTCCGGGCAGATGGGCAGACTGTGATCATCATGCTACAAATCAGGAGCAAGGACTGGTGGCACTGTGCTCACCAGAAACACACCTGAGAAGCTGTGGGGAGCACCTGGCTCTGCCTGTGAGCCGCTTGGGCCTGCCTTTACGTCCTGTGTGGATGATGACGTTGCTGGGGGCTGGCTTGGGGGTGGCAAAGGAGCAGAGACAAAAGAAGGGGCAGTGATAGGAGAAATAGGAGTGGGGGTGCAGAGAAAAGATAAAGGGGTGGGAGACAAACCGGGACTGAGATGACACAGGGGCCGGGGTGCCCATCCCAGGAAGCCCAGCCCGGCCTACACAACCTCCTCAAAGGGCACTGAGCTCTGAGGCCTCACAGCCCCTCAGGGAAACCAGCAGTGGGGAGAATGGAGAGCCCCATGTGCTCTTCAGCCAACCCTCCTTTAAAACATGAGTCTGCAGGGCCGGGGATTTAGCTCAGTGGCATTGCACCTGCCTGGCAAGTGTAAGGTCCTGAGTTCAATCCCTGGAACCAAAAAAAAAAAAAAATCTGCAAAATAAGCTTATAGGGTACAGTGGAAATATATGGTGTTTAAATAATTAATTATAGCAAAAGACACACTGCCATGAAGCCCCCCCAAAATCCTCCCCCTCACATCAAACACACCATTGTTCTTGCCACTTTCTGAGCAGTCCTGTAAGTCCTTTTTTGTGAGTCTTTACAGGGTGTGATTAAAAATACCGTCAATACTGCTGGCCAGTGCCATCCATCGGAAAGCAGGTTCATAAAAATATGTGAATATGGGCATATAGTGAATGGCTAAAGGGGAAATGGGAAGGGGAGGGGAAAGGAAATAAGGGAAAAGAAAAAACGTGAAAAAATGGAAATAAAAATATGACACTGTGTCCTTATCCACTTGATTCACTGGATCTTGCACTGCACAACTCTGGATCTTCCCAAAGTCAAAAATTAAATATTCACTATATTTTTCAATTACACCTCATATACTCAAGCACACGTGAATGCAACCTGTCCATATATAAACGCATATTTTTTTTTTCCAAAACAGTGCTAGTGTAGAGGAGGGTAGGAGTTGGCCTTGAATTTTCATCAAGATCCCTCCCACCCAGAAAACCTTTCCTTCTTCTCTCCTTTCTCTCGCTCTCGCTTGCTCTCTCTCTCTCTCTCTCTCTCTTCCTATCTATATATATATAATTATTATTAAAAATAAAATTTCTCAACAACTCCTCCTTTTTGCTCAGTATGTAATGGGAATTTTCTCAACAGCTTAAGCAATCTATAAAAACACCACTGTCACCAGGCGTGGTGGGCCATGCCTGTAATTCTAGCATTTGAAAGGCTAAGGCAAAAGGATCACCATGAGTTCGAGGCCATCCTGAGCTACAGAGTGAGTCCAAGGCCAGCCTGAACTACATAGTGAGACCCTGTCTCAAAACAAAACACGTCATTGAAAAATGACGGCCCCAAAACGCCATAGCACACATCTTTGTACGCAGATATTTTTCCATGTCCTCTGAACAGATCCCCAGAGAGGGAAAGATCAAGTGCAGCTGCTTAGAGCATCCTGCTTTTTTTTTTTTTTTTTTTTTTTTTTTTTTTGGTACCAGGGATTGAACTTGGGTCCTTGGGCTTGCAAGGCAGGCCACCAAACTGCTGAGCTAAATCCCCGGCCCAAGAGCATCCTGCTTTATAACGCCAAACCACTTCCAAGAAAGGTCACAGCCACTTATGTACAGTCCAGCCACAAATAAGAGCCACCAGGCCAGCCAAACCTGCTATGCTCCAAGAAGGGTTCACCACGTTCACACCCGGGCACAGGAGTACACCTTCCAGGAAGACAAAATTGAAGTGGGAGGAGACCAAGCCACACCACACATGAGAATAAGAGGGGAGGGTGCGCATGCTGGTGACCCTAGCACTCTGGGACTCTGGGAGGATCGAAAGATAGAGCCCAACTTGGGCAACCTAATGATTTAGTAAGACCCTGTCTCAAAATTTAAAAAGGGCTGTGGATGTAGTCAGTGCTAAGGCCCTGGGTTCAATCTCCAGTATCAAAAAAAAACAAAATCAGGTGGGAATAAAACACACCAATTCCCCAGTGCCATGATGCCTACTGATTGGAGTACTTGGGGTCTTTGCAGATGGAGCTCATGCCTGAGGGGCACCACCGGACTCCAGGGAAATTCCTGCTCCAGCTCCCATCTAGGGCACTTCTGCTACAGGATGTACAACCTGATTCTGATGTGGAGGAGTCCTTCCTGACCCTCAGAGTGGGGAGAGGGTGACCCTCCCCCACAAGGGGAAAGCCCTTGGGTGAGGCTTTCCAGAGAGTCAGAGGTGCTGGAGGAAAAGCAGTGAGGAAGGGATCCACGGAGATCCCTCCTAACAGACAGAGACCATAGCTGAATTTCCAAAGGAGGCTGGGCAGGGTCCCAGTGTGAAAATACCCATGGGTTTGTCTGCTCAATTCATTAGTTCATTGGACCTGCAGTTACTGCAAGAGAGCTAGAGAGAAAAACAACCAACAGGAGGGAAATGGGTGTGCACATGTGTGTGTATCGGCGGATGGAAAAAAAGGCCCTGCCTACATCTATGAGCTGGAGACCTAGCAAGTTGGTGGTAAAATTCAGTCTGAAGAGGGGTGAATCCCTCTCTCCTCTGTCCTTTGCTCTACCCAGGCCACCAAGGGCTTGGGAGGTGTCTGCCCCATGGGGGAGGGCAGCCTGCTTTACTGAGCCCCCCATCCTAATGCTAATGTCAGCAGAAACACCCCCAGTCACACGAAGAAGCAGGGCTTCCTTGGCATCCTCTGCAGGGTCTCAAGAAATGAGGGCTGTGGTTTCCTACTGAGTCTTCCATCCCAAAATTTAAAAAAAAAGACTGGAAATGTAGCTCAGTGTGAAGGCCCTGGGTTCAATCCCCACTACTGAAAAAAAGAAATGTGCAAATCAGAAAGCAACAGATTCTAGTAAAGGAAAGGAAAGGGGCCATGGCAAGAGAGTGTGGGAGTCACCTGAGCAGGCTCAGGAGGCTGGGAGGAAGCAAGTGTCCCAGCAGAGGAAGTGCCTGAAAGTCCCACCCCTGTTGACAGTCAGGGGGATACCAGAGACACAGGGACAACTGGAAGCCAGTGTGGCTGGGACAGCTGAGGAGAAAGAGCCAGGACATGGTCAGGGAGCTTGAGCTGTTTTAGGAACAGTGGCCCTACTCTGTATGAGGTAGAGAAGCTGCTAGGAAGCTGGCTTTCCCCTTCCCGGGCAACACCCTAGCCAGCTCCAGGGCTGGTCAGTGACCTGTGAGGTCAGAAAACCCTTGACGCCCAAACACCCTCAACGCCAACTGGGTCTCTGACATGAACTTGGCCCTCTGACCACTAACCCCACTAAGCCTCAGTTTCTTCCCAGCAAATACAGGCACCTTCTGTCTTCCCTGCTCAGAGCCCAGCCAAGCCCAGCGAGGGAGAAGGTGCCCAGGCATGAGGCCTGAAAGCTGTCCCCAGAGCACCTACCTCCTCCTGCCTCGTACCAGCCTATTTTGGTCTCCAGACACAGGTCGCAGGACTCACTTCCAAGGAGTACTCATCCCAGACCTTTTGCCCGCAGACACCCCCAGGAGAAGACAGGCAGGGCCTCTCTGCTCAGTCACCTCTGAATGACTCCTCAGTGCTACAGCCAGCCCAGAGCCACCTTCCTGGACTGGGGAAGGGCAGCCCCAGCTCCCCTTACCCAAGTGATCTGTGCCACAGCTTCCCAGAGGAAGGGAAATGCGATAGACTGGATATTCACAGATGGTCTGAACAGCCCTGAATGATGCCCTTCTTCCATGTCCACCACCCTGTAGTGTCCCCAAGGGCACTTTTTGATCTGACCTCCATGGCAGCCCTGGCACTGATTACCACTAATCACCCACCTCATAACTGAGAAGCCTGTAATCTAGCTACGTGGGGTGGGAGGACTGCTAGTTCCAGCCCACACTGGAACAACTTAGTGAGCCTGGCAACTTAGTGAGACTCTGTCTCAAAATAAAATAAAAAGGGCCAGGGATGTAGCTCAGTGCTGGGTTCAATCCAAAGTGCAAAAGAAAAGGTGGGGGCAACCTGCCCAGTGTTGCACAGTTTACTAAGATCCTGACTACCAACACAGTGCTCTCCCTCAGGTTCCTATTTGTACAACTTCCACCTACAGGATCTTCCCACTCCCCCATTACCACCCACAGATCCTAGTCAGGGTTTTCACTGCCAGCAAACACCCCGACCCCAGGCAAAGCCTCAGGAATTGAGAAATGCTTCCTTTTTAACAAAAGTTCACTGGCCCAGCCATGTCTATCCCAAATGTGAATGGACCCACACTACAGACTCTGGTTCACCTCAGACATTTGAAGCCCAAACCCATGGCCACAGGAAACGCCACAGCGGGTGCAAGAAAGGGCTATCAAGGACGGCTCACACTGTCAAATCAGCCAGAGACCTTCAGTTACACATCTGTGCAGCTGGGAAAGTCATGGCACTGAAGTTCTCCATGTTCTGGCTTTAGGGCCTTTTTTTTTTTTTTTTTTTTT